CCAAATCATGTCCAATCAATTTAATTTACCACAGGTGGACTCCAGTCAAGGTGTAGAAACAACTCAGCAGTGATCGAAAGGACCTGAGCTAAATTTCAAGTGTTGTTGCAAAGGGTCTGAATACTTAAGTACATATGATATTTCAGTTTTTCCTTTTTGATAAATTTACAGACGTTTCTAAACTTCTGTTTTCACTTTGTCATTATGGGGTACTGAGTGTAGATTAATGAGAAAAAGAATGAAATTAAACGATTGTAGTATCAGGCTGCAACAACAAAATGGGAAAAAAGTGAAGGGGGTCTGAATACTTTCCGAATGCACTGTATAAACTTTCACTCATTATAATTCACAGAAATGGGCAATCACCAGGAATTTTGCATAGTATGTACAGGTTGGACATGCCAATTTCACTTGGGGGAGGCTGTCCTGCAACTACTTAAGTGTCGAGCTATGAAGGTTTTCATTGTTTCTGTTGAAACTATTTTTTTCTGTCTCAGTTGTATAACAGCTGTACCAAGTGGTCACCTAGTTCAAGCTATGCCTGGCAGTGATTTAGGTTCAGCTGCAAACTTTAGATGAGGAAAAAAATTGATACATATGTTAGAACTGCAGAAGAAATTTGTGAATTACTCCTTTTGTCTAGCATTCTTGCAACATATTTTAAAATGAAATATTGTAATGTTATGATATCTAAACAATACAGAAATACTCTCAGTGCTAGTGTCAGAAAATTCTCTGGTGAATGTAATTTTATTCAGCTTGAATACTGACAAAATATGATCATGTAGATGATAGTGTATTTACTAATATGTCTTTCAAGATTTGAACATTGTATTTTTGCTTTGCTATATTTGCTAAACTTTCAAATCTACTAATATAGCAAAGCAAAAATACAATGTTCAAATCTGTGATATAAAGTCGGCTCACAGCAAAATACCAATTTTGGGATTTTTAGATTACTAAATTAAGTCCGTATTTTTATTCTGTTTAGACTGAAAACATTCCTGTAGTAAGAAGACCTGACAGAAAAGATCTCCTTGCGTATCTTAATGGAGAAACATGTGAGTCAAAAGCATAACTGCTTATTGTTTTAGTATTCTTCCTAAAAATATGACTAAGAATTCAGGAGTAATGATACATTTTCTCTTACATTAAAAGGCAAAATAATTCTAGTACCTTTGTCAGAAATTAAAATACCAAATCAAAAGTTTTGCTTGATTAGATAAAAATAATTGAATCTGGTGTCAAAGATAAGTCTAACTGGTGTTAAAAATGAAAAACAAGTTCTGAATAGTTCTCTTCTCTTTTACCGAGTGTTTCTGTGGCCCTGATTTAAAACCAAAAGAAGAAACTGCTGAAAAAAATCAGTGTGAAAAAGTCAGTAATAAAACATGAAGGCCCCCCCAAAAAATGAAAAAAAGAAAAAAACTTTATTTCCCCCTTGTCCCTCGTGTTAGTGGAATTCTTGTTGACAAATAGTACTTATTTTCTTACTATGGATCAAGTATTAGAATTAGTTTTTACTCAGGAGTTCCTAATGTGAGACTACATTATATTGGGCAGTTTTAGAGTCTATTGGGTGCACTCTAACTCTGAAAGACTATCATGTCAAAAACAACACATTTACTGGAAGACAAATGAGAGATTGATTTATATACCACCTTTTTACAAAAGCTCAAGGTGGCATGCATAGTGTTCCCTCCTATTTTCCTCAGAAGAATAGCCCTATGGTTGAGCTGAGAGAAGATGACTGACCCAAAGACACCCAGGAAGTTTCTGTGGCTGAGGTTGGATTAGAACTTTGGTCACATTGCTTCTAGTCAGACACCTTCATCACTACACCCTACTGGCTTTCTCCCCTTATCTCCCCTTAGCCTTCCAGGATGCCCTCTACCATTTTGGTGGAAACTTTCTGAAACAGAACATTGGATTGCAGTTTCCTATTATTTCAGTTTTTAAGAATAACAGCAGGATGTATGTGAGGCCCAGAAGTTTTTTGGGGGAGCATAACAATTATGCTTAACGTTGACACTTTCTGTGCAATGTGCTAGGTTCCCCATTATTTTTAATTAAAGTAATATTTTTAAAACATCAGGTGGAACATGGAGCCTGGTGGGTACCAAGGGAATTCTGCTGATAGTAGAAAAAATGCTTAAAGCCAATTCTCAGTTGTAGTAGACTCACGGTACTTTCAGTCTTGCTCAGTACTTGAGAAAGCCTAATGAGGTTATTCTAATAGATGTTGGAAACATCAAACTTGAATTGAATATTGTGCCATGACTAACTTGAACCCTGGTTGATAGTAAGGAACACTTCCATAGGCACATAGGCAACCATGCTTATCATGCAGGGGATTCATGTTGTAATATTTTCATATAGTCTGGTTACTGCTTCAGTTTTTCTGTTCATATGTCTGCTTTATTTTTGAACATTTTAAAAGCTTTAATTCATATTTTTTCTGTACTTATAAATATTTAGCAACATCGTCGAGTATAGATAGAAGCGCACCATTGGAAATAGGTCTCCAACGATCTACTCAAGGTATAGTTTAATTATTAAATACTGTATTAGTAGAATTTTTTGTAAAACTCCTCTTTAATCCTTACTAATTTATCTTTTTCTTATAGTTAAAAGAGCAGCTGATGAAATATTAGCAGAAGCAAAAAAACCAAGAATAGAGGTAAATTGGTTTCATGCAACGTTTTTATGGAATAAGATGAACCTTGTTTTGTGGTTTTAAACCTGTTCAGATTTTTTTCTTCCATTATTATCTTCTGTGTGGTATAGCTATTATCAAGGCAAGTCATCCCTTTTGATCTACAACTTAAGAATTGTAAATGGCAATGTTCAACATCCATTGATTGATTAAAGGGAGGCGATTGGTCCACCCCCGGCGCCTGATCGACCCGTCAGGGTTTCAGCGGGAGCTGGGGGATATTCCTGTGGACCTGCTGCACGGTCCAGCGGAGGCCCTGGCTGCTGCCTGGAATAGAGAAGCGGCCGGGGCCTTGGATAGGATTGTGCCTTTGCGACCTCTCTTGCCACGCCGGCCCCGATACTCCCCGTGGTTTACGGAGGAGTTGAGAGTGCTGAAGAGGGTTAAGAGACGTCTAGAG